AAATGGTAATTTTCCACTCCTAGTCCAAATTCCAAATTTCCGACAAATCCAATAAATCTTAAGGTTGGCCACGCCTATGTGACGTCGTTCAAATAAATTAGTCGTGACACTTCGAGAAATTCGACATCCAAGTTCGATTCAAATGACGGCCAATTTCACTCAAATGTGACTTTAGTGTATCTCTGACTAACGGGCGGCTTTTTAGGATTTACGTGTATCGACCTGCGGTTACTCAAGTCACCGAAGGTCGACTCATGGTCGAGTTCTTAGGTCTATGTACATTTCCCTAGGTAGCCATTCCCTAAAGGTTAGTATCCCGAGAATGATCAGTTCCGGGCGAGATTTAACTATAAATGCATTGAAGAATATACACATTTCATTTATTCCAAAAGTGGGTCGAAATTCAGAATGTCACAATATGCATGCGTCCAGATTATTGAATTGAGGTTTGAGTTTGGTTATGCATTATGTGATCTTGTTATTTGCTCATTGGAGCTTATGCCACGTAATGCAGGTTGGATGAGCCAAGGTAAGTACATTGTGTTTGGTTTTCCATCGTTGTTAGAATTATATGTTTAGGGCATTCCGTAGGTACGCGTTATCTTAAGCGAGGCTTAGGGAGTTTACTTATTGAGTTTTATTTCATTGTTGTTATCTAACCATTTTAGACCCCCGACCATGAGTCATCCTCCCTTGCATTTTGGCGTGCCTAGAGACATAGACACGGAGTTTACGAAGTATGTAGTTGGTCCAGACATGGCATACCAGAAGCACGAGTCCACTGTCTTGGTCAACGAGGGTCTACTCGGATGGAAGGCTCATCGGTTTGTAGCATGGTTTATCCGAGAAGGGGATGTGGTATTTGGTCCCATTCGTGGTTTTGACGGACCTCCTACAGGTGGTATTTGGGAGGAAGTCTGGGATCCCATGGACCTCGATCCCCCAGATGGGGAAGTGTCCGATCCGGAGTCTGACCCGGATGGCATGGAGTCCGATCCTGAGTCGCCTCCCGATTACTATCAGTAGGATCGATGGGTTTGGATACCTCATCCTTTTTGGACCACCCCTCCCCCCTTTTTGAGAGCGAAGCTAAGCTAACCCGACTACCAATTCCTTTTTGTATGCGAGTAGTCTATTAGGAAGTGCCTCTAGTAAGGCTTGTATGTATGAACCTTCCTAAGGTTGGCGTTATGTTTATAAAAGTGGCTTCGCTTGTTTGTGTATTAATGTGTTTCCTTTACTATCCCTTGGTATAATTGTTGTTTAGGTGTTTCAAGTTCACTTCCGCATGTGTTCTCTCGTTAGTTAGTTGTTTGGGTCGGCGACGAATTTTGGGATATCGCATTCATAATGACTAAAGCGGGATGTTGCACGCTCGTAGGATTCGGGGCGTGATATGGATGTAGGTCACTATAATCGAACCACATAAATCTGGTATCCGATATATTTCCTTATTTTGTCAAATTTATTATTCGATCACTTGCTTCCGCAACAATTGGTATCAGAGTTACGTTTGGCTAAGTTGAAGCAAATCGATGGCGAGTGAAAAAGGAAAAGTGAGAATTGACAGATTTGATGGGAAGGATTTTGGTTTCTGGAAGATACAGATTGAGCACCATAAATATCAGATGAAACTGCACTTGCTCCTATCTCGGGAGAAACCAGAGACAATGAAGCAAGCTGATTGGGAATTGCTGAATAGACAAGTTTTAAGTGTTATTCGGCAGACGTTGGCTCGTAATGTCGTGTTTAATATCGTGAAAGAGAAGACCACTGCAGGTTTAATGAAAGCCCTATCAGACATATACAAGAAGCCATCTACAATCAACAAGGTCTATTTGATGTAATGTCTGTTTAATTTGAAGATGAGCGAAGGTGCGTCAGTTACTGATCATACCAATGAATTCAATGTGATCGTTAGTCAATTGAGTTCAGTTGATATTGACTTTGAAGATGAAGTAGTACTTTGATGTTATTATCCTCATTACCTTACAGTAGGAATACTATTGTTACTGCTGTTAGTAATTCGTCTGAGTCAACAAGTTTGACGTTTGATGGTGTTCGAGATTTAATTTTGAGTGAAAATATCCGCAGAAGAGAATCGAGCGAACATATTTAATTTTGTCTTGTTTGTCACTGATTATTTGTCGTTTAATGGATGGATTATGGATTTTGGTTGTTCTTTTCATGCTACACCAAATAGGAACTAGTTTACTACTTATCAATGCACGGATAGTAATAAAGTGCAGTTGGGGAATAATTCTGAGTGCGATGTTATAGGTGTTGGTGATATTAAAATCAGAATGCATGATGGTATTGTGAAGACATTGACTGGAGTGAGGCATGTTTTAGAGTTGAAGAAAAATCTAATTTCCTTGAGTGCCCTGGATTCAGCTAGGTATCGATATTATTCAAAATGTGGAGTTCTGAAGGTTCTTCGAGGTGCCATAGTGATAATGAAAGGAATCAAGTATAATGGCCTATATGAGCTTCAAGGTGAGACAGCAACGGAATTCGCTGTGGAGATGCATCTGTTCAAGAGTTTGAATTATAGCATATGCGTTTGGGGCACATTAGTGAGAAAAGCTTGAAAGTTCTAAGTGAAAGGAATTTGCTATGTAGTTATGTTGCTGACGAACTGAATCTATGCAGGTGTTGTGATTTAAATCAACGGTGGAAAGTGTAATTCAGTACATATGTCAGAGAAACCATGGATATTGCAAAATTTATTTACTTAGATGTTCGAAGGTTGTCGCGGTTTCCTTCAAGGAAAAGTGCAAGGTTTATGCTAACAGTTGTTGATGACTACTCAAGGAAGACCTGGGTGTTTGTGCTTAGGCACAAGTTTGATGATGTTGTCAGGCTCAGGCAGCCAAGAGCTTTGGTCGAAAAGGAGCAGGTAAGACGATCGAGCAGGTGCAAACTAACAATAGTATGGAGTTTTGCTCGGAGCTGTTCAACGAATTCTTCATGAAGGAAGGCATAGTGAGACACCGCACTAGTGTCAATGAATCACAACATATTGCAAAATTGATGAGCAAAACATTACTAGAGATGGCCCATAGAATGCTCACTAGTGCTGATATGGTTAGACGATTCCTGGCGGATGCGCTTAGTAAGCGAGCTACCTGAAGAATAGATCCCCATCAACTGTGATTGGATGTCGGACTCCTGAAGAAGTTTGGTTAGGTAATGTTGCTGATTATTCTATTATTAGAATATTTGATTGCCCATGTTATGTTCGAGTTAGTGATGATAAGCTTGATGGAAGGGCAAGAAAGTACATGTTCCTAAATTATGTACAAGTTGAGCGAGGTTATCGGTTGTGATGCCCGGAATTAAACTCACTTGTTGTCAACAGAGAAGTTACGTTTGACGAGTCTCAAGTACTTCTGGGTAGGAGTGTTAATAGCAGTGTTCATACGGATCTGAACAGTGTTCAGCTTGAGATGGAGTTGCAACCAGAAACTCTTAAGATAGTGGGTACTAGCAGAGTAATCAACACAAATGGTGCTTGTAGCGAGGTGGAGCCTATTGAGCCAACAATTGCTGTAACTGTTGATATTGACAAGGTGCATATTCAATCTTCTGACATATATTGATGCAACGATAGTTTTGTTTTATTTGCGGTTAATGAGGTTGTGTCGAAAAATCCTTATGGAGTGGTTAAAGGTGCATGTGGAGTTGGTGTTTTGATGAATAGCGAAATTCAAGCGCGCTTGGACTTGAAAGATATCTGTGGCGATTGAGCCTATTGGGGTTGTGGGAGAGTAGTAGCGAAGTCATGACAAAACGATTATGACTTGGCTCAAGCGTCAAGCCAAAGTGGAAATTGTTAAAAATATGTCTCGAGTTTAAGCCCGAAAAGAAAAGTTTCTCAATTCAAGTAGGTTTCCTATTTTGGATAGGTTTCCTAATTAAATAGTTTCCTAGTTGGAAAAGGTTTCCTAAAAAGAGGTTTCCTAATTTGGATCCAATTCTTGCCTATAAATAAGAAGGAAATGTTATTTGTGAAGATTATCGAAGATGAGTTTCTGCCAGTGAATTACACTCTGAAGATATCCGAGTGTTTGTAGCGATTAAATATTGTGGTAAGATCTATGTATAATTCTTTCGTGAGATTAAGAAATTCTTTCGTGAGAAATTGTTGGACGAAACACTGTGTGAATTATTGTGTGTAATTGGGGCTTGAGAAACACTGAAAGTGTTTAAGTGACTCAAGTGTGATTGTAATCTCCGTTGTATCGCTGGATCTATAGTGGAATTGTGCGCTACTCTCCCTGTAGATGTAGGTCACTACGACCAAATCAATTAAATTTGGTGTTCGATTTATTTCATTATTCTATCAAATTTATTATTCGATCGCTTGCTTCCGCAACCATTTTTTATGAAAAGATTTCCGAAATCATTTGTTTTCCGTGAAACTAACAAAGTCTTAAAATACTAAAATAATTACTACAGTGGTATACGAATAGATTTTAACCAAATAAGTATTATCGTTCGAAAAAAGGAAAATGACATAAATGGTTATTGAATTTTAACTTAATCTACAATGTGGCTTTTGAACTTTTAATTTATTCAATGGGGCTCTTGAATTTTAACCTAATGTGCAATATCGTCTCTGAACTTTTAATTTTTTCAATGTAGTTCTTAAACTTTGGGTACATATTTAAACTAGTCCCTGAACTATATGAAAATGTTCAATATTGTCATTGAACTTAAATTAATTAAAGAATAATATTGACTATTTTCATATAATTTAAGAACTAGTTTCAACATTTACCGAAAATTCAAAGATCACGTTAAATAAATTAAAAATTCATAAATAATATTATATATTAGATTAAAATTCATTAACGGCATTGAATAAATTAAGAATTCAAAAATTACATTATCCATTACTTGCACCATTATCCGTTCGAAAAAGGGGTAGGACATTCATAAAGAGGTACGACAGCTTCCTCGTGAACCGTAAATAATCGAATCGGCTAATCGCTCGTCGGAGCTTGGCGTTTGCCCAATCCATCAGCCACTGGGCACACGTGGCAGGCCGAAGCACCCCCCGCTCCCCGAAGGAGAGATTTGTAGCAGGTGCGATACAATGAGCACAATGCTCTCTGCGCAATCGAAGGCATTGCATTGCCAAAGCCAAACCACCAAACTTGGAAGAAGTCAGTGAGATAAGTCGCAGTCGAAAAGTCTCTGAGAATTCTTGAGCTGAGAAGATCGAAAGCCGAGAGGGGTGTCTTCCCTCTTTGGTTGGAATTGCTGATGGAACTGTGTTAGCTTTTGCTGCTACAAGCAAGAAGAGAGAGATAATGAAGGGCCCGGTGCTTCGTAGGCCTTTGATTTCGGGAGTGAAGCTTCCCTTGTTAGTTGGTGTGGACTCGTTGCCTTGCACTGCGACGTCGCCCGCAGTTCAAACCTCGTGTTCTCGTGAGTTTTTCCCCTCTTTTCTCGTACCTTGTCATCGTTCTCTGATCTTCAGTCGTTCATGGTGTCTGCGAAAATGTTTGCGAAAAGTTAATTTTCCGGATGCAATCGGTTCTTCGTTGGACGGCTGAATCGGATCTCGTTCTTGCTGAGAAAGAAAGAGTTTGAGTTGAGGAATTCGTAGTTTGATGCTTACCCTATTCTAGTCAAGCTTCTGTAGTGAGAACTGAGCGAAGTTTTGGCATCATTGTCCTTATGATTGGTGTTGGACTATGCATATGGGGCTTAATCGATGGTGAGATGATTGACCTTTGCCCTTTTCTGGTTAAGATTTTTAGCCGATTTAAGTGAATTGGATGTGCAATCTGCTCGATTTCTCCCTCTCTGCCATATTAGCCACTTGAAAACGGTGCAGTTTGTACCAACCAATCGTTTCAACTTGTAAAATCACCGGGTTTTATCGAAGCCAGTGTATCTAGAAACTAGTTTTTATAATATTTGCTCGAACTGCAAAGATTTTGCTATATAATGATCGATGTAAGAAGTGCAGGAATGAAACCGATGAGTGAGGATGAAACACAATGCAACACGGATGTGGAAAAGAAGATGGCATCTTCTTAAGTATATGCAATTTCATGACATCTTCGTCATATTCTGGACCCTAAAAACTGGATGATTCTTCTCCTTCAATTTGCCAAATGACCAGAATAACATTGTACTGAAAACTGTTTAGGTTTCCGAAAATTAGCTTCATGGATATTACAACTTAGGTTGACAGGTACTCCTCATAGACCAAAAAGAGTTACAAAAGATTTTGGCACTCTTCCATGTAAGGAGACAAATATAAGCATGAACCTTGGTACACTTGCTTCAGAAGATGGCATACTTTTCCTTAATTGTTGTCGACTTTGGGCTGCACTAATTTTGACAAATTAGCCTGAGTTTTCTTTTGGGCTTGGGCTGAATGCACATTAGGTTGGGTTGGCTTACTGAAAATCAGGCTATACTGACTAACCTCCTAATCTTTCTCTTATTTTAGCTAGATGGAGAGGATTATCAAGAACGAAACAAACATGCAGCACATTCCGAGCGCAAGCATCCAATGTAAGTATTGGATCGGGGGGATATGAAGGTAGGGATGAAAATGAAAATCAGAATGCCTTGGGAGAGAATCCACCCGGAAGCAGTTCGTCAACAATGTGAGTTCTATCTGATTGATTAACAGCTCATCCCTTTTTCTGATTTGTATTTGCAGAATCTTGTTTTATTGGATAGCCTATCCCATTCATGACGATGACGGGTTATATTTTTTATTCTAAGAATGTGTTGGATATGTTGCTGTTAGATTGCAGTAATAATGAGTGGATGCTTGATGTATGAATCCAAAGCAGCAATTGCAATGTAATGATCCACAAAGTTTTACCTTCACCGGATAGGCATGTATGATATTCCTAATTTGTGCTTTCGGTATCTTGTTTGTTTGTCAAGACGAAGGGAAAGAGAAATCATCATTAATAAGAATTGAGGTAGAAGTTCTACTGAACATGCTAAACTAGATATGCTGTCTAAATGAGTTGAGTTCAAGCTCTTTTAAAAAGATCATTAGTCCTAATCATCATGATCTTTCAAGATCTTATAGAAAGATGCATTGTCCTTCCACCCTTGCTATCTTTCAACATTTGAACTCTAGCCCTTAGATTTGAATTAGGATTGGTATAGAATCTCTGTATATTGTAATCTCTTATTATAGGTATTTTATATGTTCAGTAAAAAAGGAAAACAAGAAGCTTTTAATAAGTATGCTTGGTGTGTATCAATATTGTAGCTTTTGGCCTATACTTTGTCTCTTCTACAAAAGTCCCATCCTATTTGCATTGTAATAAACTGCGATTTTTCAAAGAAGAAAAATGGTTTCTTCCATTTCTTATTTTTTATCATACTTACATAACACTTAAATAGGGCCTACAATAACTAGAAAATAGCAAGAAATAAAAAACAGATTTCCTACTTCTTAATTCTAGCGATTTACTTCCTAATCCTAAGGATTCAGGAATAAAAATAAATGGAAACAAAATATTCCTATCTCGGGATTTTCTCCGAGATCTTCGAGATTTTCTTCTAATTCTTCAACACCCCCTCTCAAGTTGGTGCGTAAATGTCTATCATGCCCAACTTGCTGATGAGAGACTCAAAGTTAGGTCTGAACAATCCCTTTGTAAGAATATGCTATTTGTTGTGTTGTTGGCACAAATGGCATACAAATTGCTCCTGCATCAATCTTCTCTTTGATAAAGTGTCTGTCAATCTCAACATGCTTGGTTCTATCATGTTGCACTGGATTATGTGCAATGTTAATTGCAGCCTTGTTGTCACAGTACAACTTCATGGGCATTTTCACTGATACTTTAAGTTCTTCTAGTACTCGTGTTAGCCACAACATCTCACAAACACCGTGGGCCATTGCTCGGTATTCCGCTTCTGCACTGCTTCGTGCCACAACATTCTGCTTCTTACTTCGCCAAGTAACCAAGTTCCCCCATACGTATGTACAATATCCTGAAGTCGACCTTCTGTCAGTAATTGACCCTGCCCAGTCTGCATCCGTGTATGTCAATCTCCCATTGAGTAGATTTTTTGAATAGCAGACCTTTTCCGGGTGTGCTCTTTAGGTATCTTAGGATCCTGTACACAGCCTCAAGATGTTTTTCATATGGAGAGTGCATAAATTGGCTTACCATACTCACAGCAAAGGCAATATCTGGCCGAGTATGTGACAAATAGATCAGTTTCCTTACTAGCTTCTGGTATCTTGATGTATCAACAGGAACCTCATCTTTGTCATCTCCAAGTTTCTGATTGGGATCTATAAGAGTTTCTGCCGGTCTACGACCACTCATTCCGGTTTCCTTTAGAAGATCTAGGACATATTTCCTTTGTGAGACTACAATTCCCTTTTTCGATCGAGCTACCTCCATTCCAAGGAAATACCTTAGAGTTCCCAAATCCTTGATCTCAAACTCAGAAGCGAGACATTCTTTCAACCTGTTCATCTCAACAATATCATTCCCAGTGAGAATGATGTCGTCCACATACACTATCAAAGTTGCAACCTTCCCGTCACAAGAATGCTTTACAAACATGGTATGATCAGCTTGTCCTTGAACATACCCTTGTTTCTTCACAAAATGAGTGAACTTCTCAAACCAGGCCCTCGGTGACTGTTTCAGTCCATATAATGACTTCTTCAATCTACATACCTTTGATCCAGAACTTCTATCAAAGCCCGGGGGAAAATCCATGTATACTTCTTCCTCCAAATCTCCATTCAAAAAAGCATTCTTCACATCTAGTTGTTGCAGGGGCCAGTCAAGATTGGCTGCAAGTGACAGGAGCACTCTTACAGTGTTTAGTTTTGCAACTGGAGCAAAGGTTTCAAAGTAATCGATCCCATAGGTCTGGGTGTATCCTTTTGCGACCAACCAAGCTTTATACCTTTCGAGAGATCCATCGGATCTATGCTTGGTTGTAAATACCCACTTGCATCCAATTGTGGTCTTTCCCTCAGGTAGATCCACTATATCCCACGTTCCATTTTTTTCTAGAGCTTTCATCTCTTCAAGAATTGCTTCCTTCCACTCAGGAACCTGTAGAGCATCCTGCACAGTTTTCGGAATCTCCACACAAGACAATGTTGAGGTAAAGGCACGGAAATTGGGTGAGAGGTTTTTGTGAGACACATAATGAGACATAGGATATTTGGTACAAGACCTAACTCCTTTTTGGATAGCAATAGGTATGTCAAGTTCATCAGGTCTGACAGATTGAGTTGGAACATTACCTGGTGACTCTATGGAGTTCTGGTCATGCCCCGGTTCGGACTCATGGCACCTTAAGGGAGCAGGAGACTCATTTCTTTGAGTTTTGTCTCTTCTCGTGTAGACTTGAGAATAGGATGGAAGCTCTGTATTCTCGGTACTAGTTTTGCACCTGTTATATTCACAAGTAGGATGCGATGACAATATATGTGGACCCGAATTTTCATTATTTAAAACACTTGGTTCAAAATCTGGTATAAGGGTTGCGGGAATATGATTTTTAGGAAGAGGTTTTTCAGGTTCTAGACAAAAAGAATCTATGATGGAGTTGTGCGAATCTGCACTTTCTTTCCCCCTCTGAAGATGAGCTCCAAAAAAAGGTGTTGATTCAAAAAAAGTGACATCCATGGTGATAAACATTTTTTTGGAAATCGGGTCAAAGCATTTATACCCTTTTTGATTAGGTGCATAACCAACAAACACATCGTTTTGCTCTAGGATCAAGTTTCCCCCGATTTCTATCATGGATGTGGACAAATGAGGTACAACCGAATAGTTTTAAGGGTAAGGCTGAAGCAAGTCTATTAGTTGGGTAGGTCTCCTGAAGAACTCTTAGGGGTGTTTGAAATCCTAACACTTTAGAAGGCATCCTATTGATGAGATATGTAGATGTAAGAAGAGCTTCATCCCAGAGATATGTGGGAACTTTAGTTGTGAAGAGTAAAGCTCTAGTTACTTCTAAAAGGTGTTTATTCTTCCTCTCTGCCACCCCATTTTGTTGAGGGGTGTCAGGGCAAGAACTTTGATGCACAATCCCCTTTTCCAAGAAAAACTGTCCCAAATTTTTATTGAAATATTCTTTCCCATTGTCACTTCTAAAAATCTGGATTTGTCCTTGGAATTGTGTTTGTACCATGGTGTAAAAATTTTTGAAAACAGTCTCTACTTCGGATTTCTCTTTTAACAAGTATACCCAACTCACCCTTGTATGATCGTCAATAAATGTGACAAACCATTTCTTTCCTGAGAATGTAGGAATTCTAGATGGGCCCCAAACATCACTATGAATTAAGGAGAATGGTTTCGATGGCTTGTAGATTTGTGAGGGAAAATTGGTTCGATGATGTTTGGCTAATTCACAGAATTCACACTGAAATGAAGATGGACTTTTATTCAAAAATAACTTTGGGAACAAGAACTTTAAATATTGAAAATTCGGATGACCTAGCTTATAATGCCATAACATAATGTCATCATCCTTACTAAGAGTAACAGATTCAAAACAACTACCCTGGACTTGTCTACTTGAGCTTGTTCCATCTTCAAAGAAATAGAGTCCTCCACTCTCTCTAGCATTGCCAATCGTCCTCCCCGAGGTCAAGTCCTGAAACTCACAATGAGATGAGAAAAAGTTAGCTTGACACTTTTGATCGGAGGTTATTTTACTAATGGACAGCAAGTTACAAGATAGCTTTGGGACATGAAGAACTTTATGAAGTGTGAGGGCTGGTGAGAGCTTGATAGATCCTGTTCCAGCTATGGCTGAAAGAGAACCATCTGCAATTGTGATTTTTTTATTTCCTGCACACGGACTATAAGTGGAAAAGAGTTTTGAACAACCTGTCATATGATCGGTTGCTCCTGAATCGAGAATCCATGGAGCAATTTGGTGTGGATTTTCTATGAGGAAAGCAGTGGAAAAATAATTACCTTTCTGGGCTAAAGAACAAGATGGATTTGAAGAAGGTTGTGGAGATTGAAGGATTTTGTATAGGTGCTCTAACTGTTCCTTTGTGAATGGAACCAAATCAGACTTGATTTGCTCTTCATTTGTTGCTTGGAACGCACGACCATCGTTACTGCTCCTTCTCTTCCAACCTTCTTTCTTCCAATTCTGTGGTTTCCCGTGAATTTCCCAGCAAGTCTCTTTGGTATGCCATGGTTTCTTGCAATGTTCACACCATGGTTTCTTCCTCCTGTCTTCCTCAGAATCAGGCCCCCGAGATACAAGAGCAGAATTTTCGGATATAGAGCTGACACTTGTTTCCGAATCATGTAGCATGATTCGCCTCCGAGATTCCTCCCTTCTAACTTAAGAGAAAACCTCGCGGATGGATGGTAGAGGTTTTCGACCAAGGATCCTGCCTCTCACCTCATCCAGGCTTCGATTAAGGCCTGCGAGAAACATGTATACTCTATCATTCTCTTCTCTTCATTTGTCTCTGACAATCAGCTGGACTTTCCCATGTATCATCATAGCATTGATCTAATTCCTGCCACAAGGTCACCATTTCATTGTAGTAAATAGTGACCTCACGATCCCCTTGCTTCAATTGCCATAGCTTTGTCTTGAGTTCAAAGATCTGGGAAGAATTTTCCAAATCAGAATATGTTTCTCTCACAACGTCCCACACATCTTTAGCGGTCGGAAGGATTAGGTGAGGTTTTCCAATTGTTGGCTCCATAGAATTGATCAACCAGGCAATCACTAAGGAGTTCTCAGATCTCCAAATCTTCCAAGACGGATTGCTTTTTTCTGGTTCCTTCACCTCGCCTGTTAAATGGCCGAGCTTCCCTCTGCCATCAATTGCTAGTTTCACCGATTGAGCCCACTCCAAATAATTTTGGCCATTCAATCGGTGAACTTCAATAGCAGGTTGGAGTTCTGGGAGAATTGCTCTCCACCATTGCTCGATTGTGCAGAGAGATCAGCTAGGTTGTTCTCTAGCATGACACCTAAAGGAGTGGTGTTCCTACTAGCTCCAGTCATCGCTGTTTTCACCATAGTAAGAGCCGGATTTAAAACCAAGCTCTGATACCATGCGATTTTTCAAAGAAGAAAAATGGTTTCTTCCATTTCTTATTTTTTATCATACTTACATAACACTTAAATAGGGCCTACAATAACTAGAAAATAGCAAGAAATAAAAAACAGATTTCCTACTTCTTAATTCTAGCGATTTACTTCCTAATCCTAAGGATTCAGGAATAAAAATAAATGGAAACAAAATATTCCTATCTCGGGATTTTCTCCGAGATCTTCGAGATTTTCTTCTAATTCTTCAACATAAAATTTGTTTGGCAAGGCAATAGGTGATGCTGTGACTAAATATCTATACTTCCTTTAGTCTCTTAAACTGTGCTTTAAATATCAGCCAAAAAAATGTCCATGGTTTGAATTCGCTTCTCTCTCTCATCATTTGAATTGTGATGCTAGGAATCTGTGAACTTAATTAACGAGTGTTTACTTTTGTGATTTGCAGCAAGAAGATCCCTAGCCAAATTCCTTATCCTCTCTCTGTTGCTTTGGTTCTCTTTGGATGCGCTTTGGTATTTTCATTGATTGTGTTTGTCAAAGGCAGACCTTCATCACTATTAGCTGCAATCGCAAAGTCAGGCTTCACAGCTGCATTCACATTAATATTTGTTTCTGAAATCGGGGATAAGGTAGTTTATCATGGACAGACTTATACTTTTGTCACAAAGCATACATACGAGAGATTCTCATCTCTCTGCTTATTCATCATCTCATGTCAATTTAGTTTCTTTTGCTTCGCAACGTCCTGATTTCTTGGTCTAATTTCACTAATACTTCGGAAGAGTTATAACATATGGGCTGGATTTACAAATGCCTGTTTGGACTATTGTCAACTTGAGGATGTAGGTGACTACCCACTAAAGTGTTATCGACTACTAAGCCCAGCTCTTCCTATGTGATTGATGATCCAATAAAGAGGAAAAATTTGGCATTGAAGCGTAAGAAACCTATGAAATTGAGACCAGTTTGTTGTCTAGTAATATGGCTAATAAAGAATGATGCAATGGAGGCTTTACACCTATGCATCACACTCAAGTAGTTTGAATCTAATTTACTTATGACTTAAGCATGATACTAATCTCACTGCATGTTGACATCCAATAACTATCCCCCTCTCGATGGTTGGTCTAGGTTTGGTCCTCTTTATCCATTCTATGTGCTTGTGATGGTCTGATATAATTAGAGACTGTGTATCTCTTGTAATTGCTCAGGTCCTGGAAATGCTAGATCGTAGTGTCCCTTCACTTCACCCCATGATATCTCCTTTTCTGCATTAAAAACTCGGGATAAGTGCATTGAAAGCCCTAAAATTTGTCGAGACAGTGCAATTTAGTCCTAAAACTTTCAAAAGGTGCAATTAAGTCATAAAACTTGTCGTGATAGTGCAATTGAGTCCTAAAACTTTCAAAAAGTGCAATTAAGTCATAAACCTTGTCAAAATGGTCTAATCAAGTCCTTCCATTGATTGCACTTTTGAAAGTTTTAGGATTTGATTGCACTTTTGTGACAAGTTTTAGGACTTGATTGCATCTTTTGAAAGTTTTAGGGCTCGATTGCACTTTCTTGACAAGTTTTAGGACTTGATTTCACTTTTTGAAAGTTTTAGGGTTCAATTGCACTTTAGTTACAAGTTTTAGGATTTCCAGTGTACTTGTCCCTAAAAACAAAAGTTACTTTGCCTGGGCTCCTATTGAGGTCAATTGCATGGTTTCTTGAGTCTAATATATTTGGAGCTCTTCTATGTCTTTGTAAAATCTGACTTATTAGTTAACCTATCTCTGCTGCCAGATAATCAATATGGTCATTGGAAGATTTGAATTTTCTTCTTGTGCATTTCTGTTCTCAATTTTACTAGTAACACCTACCTTGTCTTTATTGTAAATTCGGTACATGATATGACCTCTTTAATCTATTAACTGAATTTGATGAGAGAAGTTAATGCTTGCTTAACAGCGGATACTGTTTAAAATATGTATTAACTCAAGGTATGGTTGTTCCTATTGCCCAGACATTCTTCATTGCTGCATTATTAGCCATGCAATACAGAAAGGGACTGGTAATCTCTCTCTCTCTCTCTCTCTCTCTCTCTCTCTCTCTCTCTCTCTCTCTCTCTCTCTCTCTCTCTCTCTCTCTCTCTCTCTCTCTCTCTCTCTCTCTCACACACACACACACACACACACACAGACATGCTAGTGGTGTAAGAAGTTGATTTGGCACGAATAAGTATCTAATATTGTTATTGAACTGTAGATTTGACCTGAAAATGTCTCCTTATGAAGGAAATATCATCTGTGGTTCACCAATAATTTACACCTGTCAGAAAATTTCCATTTTGCTGCTTGATAATAATAGAGAATTTACTCTTCATGTGAACTAATATCAAATGCTTTGACAGGATTCTGCCCATGATGGGCGATAAATTGTAGCAATGGAAACTCAGTGCTGTTGTTTTACAAGCTTGTTTACCTTCTTTACTGATTTTAGAGCATGGAGAATATTCACAGATCAAATGATGCATGAAGTGACACTGCTTCTGAATTATCTGTTTAACTGATGTCCAAGTGCTGGGATGGACAGCCTGTAGTATGATGTCTAAAAACTACATGTTCTTATGCTCTTTAAAATATTTGAACAGGTTCTTTTAGGATCAATGGGTGCTCTTTCATTAATGACCATCCTGTCTGTTGTGATTGGAAAGATATTTCAGTCAGTACCTGCTCAGTTCCAGACTAGTAAGTTATGCTGTTCCTTCGTGTTTTCTTGTTGGTTTCTCCATGAACTTTGAAAGAGCTTCAGTAGAGAGACTTTCAGAATGTGCTTGAAGTATCACCTTATAGGTTGCAACTAAGTTGGACATTTGATACGTGTCTTCAACAGCAGTTATCACGTGTAACTCTGCCACATCATTCAAAAGATATGAAAAATTCGAGTTAGCTCAGCAGAATGAGCTTTAAATAATGGTAAAATGTTTGCATACCTCCTGTGTTGAAGTAGCCCTAATATTTTGTTTTGGTCGACTGGAGTCCATGTATCTTCCATTAGTTGAAAATAGTCCTTAGTGAGGATGGATGACATGACATCCCCTGTCTGATGAGGCATTTATATCTTCCCTTTAGCTCTAAACTTTCTGGATGATATTATATCCTCTGTACTATGATAAACTTAGACTTGTGCTGTAAACAATGTCATTAGCTAAATAGTAGCATACAAAAGCAGAATTCTCACGCAAATAGAGTTTTGTTTGCCTGTGGTGAGTGTTTGGATCTTCCACATTGACTATGTGGGTGCAAATTGACGTAGTTGCCTGTCACATTTTTAGCACTCAAGGCAGGGTCATGGCATGTCTGCATTACCTTCTATTCGACTTGTAGAGATTAAGTTATTGACATATGAACTTGCAAATTCAATCAAGAGCCAGAACTCAGCAGAAAGCTGTTCTGCTAGTCTTTAATCCCCTGACAGTTAGCCACTCTCTGGCTGGGACTGAAGAGCTCTGGAAAAACTTGTGCTACAATGCCTTTATTCATGTGGTAACCTGGCAAAGAAAGAAAAGGAAAAAAGAGCAAAAGAAAAGGAAAGAAAGAGCAAACGAAAGATAAAGGTTATGTTTCTTATGTATGTTCTGCTACAGGGGTTTCTCAGACACGCCTGTATATACTAAAAGGAGACTTTTGGTGCAGTTCAGTCTCTTGGCACGCTCTGATTAAAGCACAGAGATTTTTTATGCTTTAAGTGCAGTAAAAATCACCTGTCAAGTAAAAGTTACTTGTACATATGAAATTTCAGCCACGTGCTGATGCTGATAGCTTCTCATTACTTCAAGTCTGAACTTTGTGTCTGTCTATCACAGAGTAATGTAGGATCGAGATATCAAATGACGAAGAACTAAAGTACACAATTTCCCTAGTGATGCGTGATTAGGAATGCGCATTGCGTTTTAGGATTTATTAGAGATTTGGAACATGAAAATCAACATTCCCGACATTTCAATGTAAATGATAATGTAACCTTGAAGACTTATGTGCTCAGCAATTTTTTTTTTTTTTGTGTAAAAGTCATCTGTTTGAACTTCAACTTGGATGCACATAACTATCAATTATTGAATTTACCAGTTCTAGATCTCTGCAGCTTGTCTTTTCTTGTCATGATAGAGAATCCATCTGATCCTTTGGCCTTTTTCTTACAACTTTTTCATGTCTCTGCTCTATGTGATCATTGAAACAGCCTTACCAATTGGGGAATATGCTGCTGTGACTTTGCTTATATTCTTTGGTCTCAAATCAATAAAAGATGCATGGGATATTCCGTCAAATGTAGAAAAGAGTGGAGAGAAGTGCAGTCCTGAACTAGATGAATACGTCGAAGCTGAAGAGCTTGTAAAAGAAAAGGTTTTTTCTTAAATTAGATGCTTGCTTCCTTGTGATCCTTCAGTGGATATACATTTTCTCACTCGGCTATTTTCTGATCCATCTCTCAGCATGCTTATGATAGGTTTTGGCATTTAAGAAAGATTGTGGCACCTGATTTGACTCAATATGTTATTAGGTCGCCAAACGGCTTTCAAATCCTCTTGAGATTGTCTGGAAGTCCTTCAGCCTCATATTCTTTGCTGTAAGCATTTTCGTTCCTCTACTGGTGCTATATTTCATGCAAAGTAGAAGATGCAGGATTAATTTGCCTCTCACTGCATTCAATGAAATTATTAAATTTGCCTCCAGAAAACTTTACATTACCATTGAAGAACCTGTCTTGGCTTGTTTTAGTGTTCTACAGCTTTTGGTCGTTGACTGCATGATGATATCTGTATTTGCCTTGCTCTTTATCAATGTTGCGTACACATACTGCGGATATGGAGATCCTTTTCCGCTTTTTAGTACTTTCAATATTAATGAACTTATTTGCTACATGTTGGTACTTTGAATGGTCATTCCTACGATAAAGATGTCTTCTGACCTTTAAACTGCAACCAGGAATGGGGAGATCGTTCAATGCTCGCAACAATAGCCCTCGGTGCGGCACAGGTCAGTTAGGTTTAATTATACTGCAGTGCAATCCTATAGATGTTGGCTGATATATCCTGATACTACCTTCCTCGTTCACCTCCAGTCTCCATGGGGAGTTGCGAGCGGAGCTATTGTTGGACACCTTGTGGCAACATCTATTGCGATTCTCGGGGGTGCATTTCTAGCCAACTACATATCTGAAAAGCTTGTGAGTTTGACACAAATTCGAATACTGACAATTTACTCTCTCTCTCTCTCTCTATCGCAAGACATGCACTCCTTTGAGCATTAGGGACGCGGATCCTCTATCCTGCACCATACTCCCATGTGTCTCAACATATGTCTGCTCTTGATGCTTACCTCATTCACACGCATCAACGGTTGAGAAGTGGTTAAGGGTTACAGCACGAATGGGAGCCCTATGGTTATAGAGTATCTTCATCCAGAATATGCTTTCTTCTTGGTGGCCTGCTATTTGACTAACCTTTCTGTGTTATAGTACATTCTCAGTCTAAATGCAGAGCTGTCTGTTCCGAATTTCCACTTGGAAAGTATCAAAGAATTCCACTTATGTACTTGTTGCTCTTGGTTGAAAAGCTTCCACTTGGAAAGTATCAAAGAATTCCACTTATGTACTTGTTGCTCTTGGTTGAAAAGCTTCTACTTCATTATGCAGTATAGTTTTGGTACCAACACATCAGGCCTAAGATGTGCACTGTACTGCCTACAGCTAGATAAATAATGGTTGTATTTTGCTCCAACTAAGTGATCTCAATTTTCCACCCAAGTAGCTGTATTTGCTGCACGTTATGAAAAGATCCATGCTCAAAGCAAACTCACTTGTTTTGACTTTAACTGGTTTTTGCCGTTCGTGTTTTCAAACAGGTTGGCTATTTGGGTGGAGTGCTGTTTCTTGTTTTTGCGATAGCGACATTCTTCGGAGTTTTCTAGAGGTTTTTAGACTGTTGAAAGAGTGAGCTCAGAGCTCGTGAGTTATTGCTTGCGGAGCTTGGTTAGAGTGACAAGATCTAAATAGGCTGGAAATAAAGGTGCTGAAGATTAACCATAGGCCTCCTTTTATTTTTTGCTTGTTTTCATGTATAAGCATGTGTTCTTCATCATCATGAACAAGGTTGCAGTTTCATTCTGATTTTGATTATTTCAAACACACGGTCCAAGATTCTTATAAATGCTATATTTTGGAATTCTCCAGGCTGGACCTACCGTTGAATACATAGCATGATATTTTGTTCTGATACTAATAATAAAAGGCTGTTTGTTCTGAGTATCTAGATATTTTCCCGTGATTGCTATGGTTCTTTTCATTCTCTCGCCTATTTCACCATAACACATGGTGCTACAACAATTGCACCCTTCAAGAACAATATATGTCGGGTCGGGAAAAGGGTAGGATGATGTCTTTATTCTTGAGGTCTTGAAGCAGTTATAACTTGGTAATTGGAAGACTGATGTGTGATTAGTCAATACAGGAGGGTCATGTTTTTCACTGGATATGAGAGAAACTCGCAAAGAGGCGATTGTGTTGTTAGTTCAGTATATACTTAGTTAATTTCATTGTGGAGACCAAATGGAAGAAGAATTGAATATGCTAGGGATGAGTGGAAGAAGAATTAACCAATTCAATCAGGAATGACTTCAGGCTATGGTGTTCCTTGACTAGTTTCTCATTCATAGAGCGAGTCTACACACAATGCAGTTTGATTCAACTTCAGGCTATTATTCCAGTTGCAGTTTGATTCAACATATAAAATGCATACATTGCATCAATCCTACAAAATTGATCATGACATCCTCCAAGATCAATGCCTCTGCTTGCCAATATGCATTGCCACTCTTCCTGAAAATCACAAGAGGCCTGTAGTAGGGAAGGGGCTCATCACTTCATCACAAATTCATTGATCCTTTGATTCATCCTGGAATTGCATTCCTCATGGAATGGAAATCCAAATACTAGACATTTCAGGTTGCAAGATTCAATGTTAAGATGAGGTTCCATCCAAACTTGGAAATTCCAGTATGAGGACTCCCATTCCTTCAGTAGTTTAATTCCAAGGTGAACCAAACAAGGCATAACAATGATAGGATTAAAAACTTTGCCTGCTCTTACCAATTTTCAGCCGTAGTCAAATTACAGTGAAATTTCCCCGTATTTAACAGCTCTCTGTGCTATGAATGGACCTTAATAAAATGCCGGAAACATAAATTCACACGAACTAGCTTATATTAATGAGAAGTGATTATGGCACTCTGATCCCGATCTTTGTTATCATGAGAAAGTACTTTTCATTTTGCCCAAGGCCTACACAATTGAAGGCTCTCCTAATTCAACAACATTGATCCTCTGGTCAAGGCAGATAGGCAGGCTTTTTTTATGGTCATCAAATATTATTATCGAATCTCTGGCACTTTCTTTTTCCATCGCCTCGACTGATGTCGGATCGCAAAGTCTAGTCAGTTTACCATTCTACATTGATGGAACTTTGCTGATTCACGCCTGATCGAGAAGCTTTGTCAGTTTGGCCAATGAAGGACAACAGGAAGTGCTGCACAACCATCCAATATTGGTGAAACTTTGCTGGGTTGCTTCTCTGTACTTTCATTGTCTAAATCTACAGAAAGCAGTCATAGTTTCTGGCCCTTTCTAATCTCCAAACGCATCAACTAAATGAATTTGCACCCACAAGTCAAAAGCCTCACTGTTCCTTTCGAGTAGTGGATCAAAAACAAGAACAAAAAGGTTGCTGTTATTGAATACAAATACATCAGATATGCAAATGAATGCATTTTACCGGAGCTCGATCACTCAATCGTCAGCTTCTGTTTTGCACCTGAATAACGGGAGAAGATCCTCAAACCAGGCATTGCATTCAGATTTTCTAAGAAAATGCCCCAAACTTAACTCAATGAGGTTAGTTGTGGGATGTATGCAGTTGCAAAAAGATGAACAGTAATCATATGCAATTACAATTTCCAATAGAAATATCAATCATATATTCTCCTTTATGGATTTAACCTACAAGATTCATCTTCCTCATATATTCTCCTTTATGGATTTAACCTACAAGATTCATCTTCCACAAGATACCGAGCCATTACCCACATCAGAGAACTAGCTGAAGTTTCTTTCCAGATTCTCAACACGCCATTCTTGCATCCAATTCATGCATAATTAACTCGATGGCTAATGACTTTCTCAACATGACATTGCTGCGGCAGTCCGTCTCAGCATTTTTCTCCATGTCCTAGATGAAAGAACCCAGAAAGAAGAAGACTTATAGTTTGGAGATTCAAGTGAATAATGGAAAATTTCGAGGACGATATTGAATAGAGAAAAATAGTTTGAAGAACATGAAGTGCCATTATCCTCCTATACCATTATCTAATTGTAAATGTGCAAAAGTTCTATGGATCTTCGAGGAACCGATCTTCCGACATTGTACATCATACTCAACTTTGTTTTGTCATAACTCCAATATAAGTTGTCATATCTTTTGAAGCAAAATCGCTCTACATAGGTCGCATCAGAGGAAACAACTCGAAATTAAAGGAAATTAAGCGCGATCGAGAGCGAAAACTTGGTACTTTGCACAAAAAAAAGGGAATTCGATGCAACACAAGGAAGCTAAAGTGCATAAGACGGCAGCGGAAAGCAAACATTACAGGAATCGAAATTGAACCGAGTATTTCTCCGTAAGTACTCAATCACGTTCAGAATTGCTTATGCTTTATAACTATTCCTCAAACAGATCGAATTCCTATCATCTCTAGTTTTGGTTGATCGAATAACCATTTTGGTTAGTCAAATAACCTTTTACATATACCAGGTGGCGCTGAAACTTGACATATCCCGATTCTCCTCGACCCGGACCTGTCTCATTTGTTTATTATCAAGATTGAGATCAACCATAAATCTGTCGTAATCTAATGTTATTTTAACAATATCATATATTTTAGATTGAATCTATATATACATTAGTAATTTATGTATAAGAACTAGAAATTTGGTAAAGTAACAATTACAAGTAAATTATTCGGATAATGACACAAATAGTCCCTGAACTTTGGCTCAATGTGCAATTTGGTCCCTAAATTTTTAATTTGTTCAATGTAGTCCTTGAACTTTAGTCTAATGTTCAATGTGGTTCCTGCACTTTTAATTTGTTCAATTTAATCATTGAACTATATGAAAATATATAATATAGTCCCTGAACTTGAATTAATGGAATGATTACACTGACCATTTTTATAAAGTTCATAGACTATATTGAACATGTACCAAAAGTTTAGGGGCCGTATTAAACAAATTGAAAATTCATGGACCATAATGAACATTGGGTTAAAGTTCAGAAACTACATTGAACAAATTAAAAGTTTAGAGATAAAATTGCACATTGAGTCAAAGTTCAATGACTGTTTGTGTCATTTTCCCTAAATTATTAGATAAAGTTTGCACATGAATGTGTCACTATGGCATAATCTCCTGCGGGCTTTATATCGCAACACACTGCAAAACTTCATAGGTACGTAAAAAATAATAAGGTTGTTACCAACCCCAAACTGGTACACATGTGACAAATTTATCCCCCATTAGTTTTCGTCAAATTTTACTATTAAATTGCATTGATGAATGTAATTCGCCCGGAACGTGGAGGCGCGCCTTCACATCCCCCTACTTCGTATGTATTGCATTGATAAGAAAAAGGGGAAAAAAACAGCGCGGGAGCGAAGGTGAGATTGATGGCAGACTCCGCCGCAGACTGGGCCGGCGTCGCCTGGACCTTGCTCGCCGGAGTGAGGCGGCGATCGCCGCTTGTCCAGTGCATCACCAACTTCGTGTCCATGGACCTGATGGCCAACACCCTCCTCGCCGCCGGCGCTTCCCCCGCCATGCTCCACTCCCTCCAGGAGCTCCCGGACTTCACCCCTAATGCCGACGCCCTCTGCGTCAACGTCGGCACCCTCACCGCCGACTGGCTGCCGGCCATGAAGCTCGCCGCCGAGCTCGCCGCCCGCTCCGGGAGGCCATGGGTCCTCGACCCGGTGGCCGCTGGGGCTTCGGGTTTCCGGTTGAACGCTTGTAGGGAGCTCGTGGGGCTTAAGCCCACCGTCATCAGGGGGAACGGGTCCGAGATCATCGCCCTCGCGGATGCCTCCATGGGATCCACCAAGGTGATTTGATCAAATTCGTAACTTTATACGTATTTCCTAGAGTAAAGAGAGAGAGTGCGTGTTTTCGTTATTGGGTATCTGGCAATGATGAATGGCTTTTTGATAGTGAGTGGAAATGGGTGTTCGGATTTGATGTTGAACTTGACTCCCGGTGTTCTAATTTTAACCTTTGGTCAAATTTCAGTAAACTTGTGCCGACTGATTTAAAGTCATGCGAGTTAAGAGTTTGAAGTCTGAGCTGTATGGCTACAATTCGCGCGAAGTTAAACAGGAATGGTCTGCTATAAACCGTTGATTAGTTTGCCTGTGGATATATTTTCTCTCTGTTCGAACAGATTGATTGCAATTTGCCATACACCGAATGGTTCCTTTCATCAGTAGTATCACAGTGAACAGAAATTAATCTGTGCGTCGTGATCTTCCTTTTTACTATGTAATCTAAGGGACAGACATTATCCTTGCTGCAACATTTGAAATTTTGTCAGATGTGCTTGTAATTGTATCTGGTGAGATTGCAGTTTTTTGCTTTGTTTTGGATGTATTGAGCATGAAGCCTTCGACATGTTGTCCTGCAGACTTTTATACCACATCACTCCCTTGATGATGTCTTGCAAAAACTCAGTTAGTCCGTACCTCTGTAAAATCTCAGAAGTTATTAGAATGTGAGATATAATTGGAAAAGAATAATGTTTGTGACTGGTCCTTCACCATATACCTTCCTCTCACAGGGTGTTGACAGCTCCCATGACTCGAAGGATGCAGTAGAAGCAGCGAAGTCATTGGCTCAGGTAAGTGAAGCTATAGTCGCGGTATCTGGAGCCATCGACATAATTACAGATGGGCAAAGAGTGGTAGGTGCCTCGAATGGGGTTCCAATGATGCAGAAGATAACGGCAACCGGGTGTTCTGTCACGGCGCTCATTTCGGCCTTTGTTTCTGTTGACCCTTCACGTGCCTTTGAAGCTACAGCCTCAGCATTATCTATATTTGGTATTGCCGGTGAGATTGGAATGGAGATGGCAAAAGGTCCAGCTTCATTGCGCATGCACTTGATCGATTCCTTGTATGGACTCGATCAAGCCGCAGTTCTTTCTTGTGTTAAGATCTCCAGCATGTGATGAGTTTGAGACGCTACATAAACAGTATAGGTGATATATTAGGCTACACTGAGTTGGGTAAGGCACGTCTAGTGAATGGGCGACTTACAAAGATGCAAAATGCCATGTTGTAGCGAGATGAGTATCATTGGCTATAGAAACTTCGTACAAAAGTTCTGTTCTTGAGTGTAAAGTTGGTTTTCTGTGGTCATACGGTTTTATGCAAACTTAAAGCATAACACCTAGTCCTAGCACTCTCAGATATTATGGTAAGCTGCTGTTATGGCTCACAATTATATACTTTTCTCTCATATTGTTGGATAATGCAATATACTCGTTGCTGGCTAGGATTGGTCGGAATCTTTTGACTTTTTATACTGTTCAATATCTTTGCGAATCTGAATTTAAGGGCCCTGGTGTCCAAATAATAAAATCCATGAGGGGAAAGGCTCAACAAGGTGAGTGTGCTGTAGCACTCATTAAGTGAGTCTTTGAATTTAAGTAACGGCAGCTTGCCTGCTTGTTGGTTGTGTAGACTAGATGGCAATATAATATAGTTATGGAGCTCACTTTTTCTGGAAAAGGCTTTAGGGTTTCAATAGGATTCTAATTTTACAGGTTGTTGAGGTAACCATAAGTGCTTCCTGTTAGGAAATTGCATGAATCGTGTCTTTTCAATCAGCAATTGTTCGGAGTTGTTGCTCGAGAAGACAACAATTTGGACATCAACAGCATTTGGTTATCTTTTGAATTATTGTGGAGAACGAAATCTGATGCACCAGTAATCTTTCCTCGTTAAGTCATGTGAGAACTAGGATGTTGAGGAAGTCTCTCTTCTTAATACTGGATATACTGAATTTTCTCTGTTGTATAGTGTGCTTCGTTGTCTTATGAGATAGTTCTGGGATTAAATGTTCGTCGCTTCCCTTTTAGTCATTTATCTAATAGGTCCCTTATCTACATACATCGCTCTTTGGTAACTTTCAGGCGTCTGCCTCTTACGCTGACTGGTAAATGCTTCTTGCTGCTTATAGCAGACAAGAAAATAGCTGGTATGTCGGAATTTGTAGTTGATTCTGCGATTCCTCTCTGTTTTCACTTGATTCAAGAAGTTGCTTTTCTTTACTGGATAGTTTCAGGATCGAATTCATTTATAGATCTTATCAGACCTCGTGGATTGAGCAAGGATTCAAGGATTTTTTCTCAGTTCTCTTTAGGTCGGTTCTACTTGGTAATATTCCCAATCTAAATTATGGTTTTTTGTTCCTTCTTTTCTGGTTCACCTATTCTAAAGGGTGATATCTTCCATCGTAATGATATCCACGCATGATTTGGAACCATTTTGCTAGAATTTAGACCTCGGTAATCAACTTGGACATAGTACAACAGGTGACATTTCGAATGGAAACAAACAGATTGACAGCACTCGTCTTCTCACACACAAACTTCACATGGTTTCTGGACAACACGGGAACCTAGTACTTTAAGTGGACTGTGATCCTGAGCAATGTCTCTGCACCATCTATGAAAGTCTGGCCAGTTGGCACGAGCGGCCGCACTTCGGCGAATCCACAAGCATTCTTGAATTTTCCAGTCCCACTAGTGATCGATAAATACGACATGGGGCTCCCGATCTTGTATATGCCGTAGAAGTTGAGGCTGTCGCCATATTCTCCTCCCTCGATCATGGCCGTGAATGCCATCATCTGCGTGCTCCCGTCCGCAGAACTTGCAACGTACACTCCCTGCGCTTTGCCAATGGTTTGCGACCCAAGCTCGGGGCTTAACGTCAGTATATCGTCGATCACGGTGATTGTCCCGAACCCGAGACCCAACCCATCAGGACCCAGCTGGGTCTGGATATTGAAGTTGTTGCCATTGTTGTTCTGATTGATGACGGGCTTTCCCGCAAAAGTCGTGCCGGCCAAACCAGTCCCGAGTGGGATCCCATTGACGCCATTGACCGTGGGGATAGCCCCGTTCGCGTTGGGAATAGCCACGCCGCCTTTCGGAGGTATGAAACCTATAGGCCTCGCGAAGGGCACCTGACCGGTGTATATGTTGCCGAGCAACCCCGTGACGGGCCTCGCTGTGGGGCTGCTTCCCCCGAGGATGTCATGCATGTAGAGCTCAAGGGCTGGCTCTCCGCCTACAGCTGATGCCGCAGGGCCTGCTGCCGCCACGTGGAGCAGCAAGTGGATGGCCGCAATCAGCACCGCGATGGGAATCTGTAGGGATGATTGCTTGGACATCTTTGTAACTGCAAGCTTGAGAAGCTCGGAATTTGCAGCAAATGACACAGATGGTTTCTGAATGTGGATGATCATCCACTTTTCAGTATGCAGTTTTATATAGAGATTGTCTTTAGGCAGAGGCTAAAGGTGGTGTAGTTGTTATGCAGCGGCTGTGAGAATCCTTAAGGTGGTGAAGTTGTTATGAAGTGGGGTTGTGGAGCTGGTCGTGTTTGTTTAGGTGCTGAATTTAATTTTGGTACACCGAAGGGCAATGATTGGCTAGAATCCGATTAATTTTGGAGTCTTCCTGTAGATTTCTCGAAAACTAGATCAAAATTTAGAGAACGATTAGTGTTACATCATTTTGCTTTACAAAGCGTTGTGCGAAAAAGAAAACTAGACCATACTATAAAATAATTATCAATATTCCACGCACATCTAAAAATCTTTTATAGGGAGAAATATCAAAAAAGTCATAAATTTGTTGTAATTATGATAATTCAATCATAAACTTTTTGCTTTTGTGCTAGTTTAATCCATCCGATCAATTTGGCTGGCCAGCGTTGAAGTGGCATTGTCGGCGCTTATGTGGCATTACCCGCGTTGACGTGGATTTTTTAAAAATAATTTTTTAATAATTTTTTTTCCTTTTCTCTCTTCTTTTCTTATATTTAGTTGTTTTGGCGAGGGGCCGCACGCCCTTGTTGGCCCTAAGTGGAGGGGAAAATATTAAAGAAAAGAAACGAAAAAATGAAAAAATATTATAAAAATTCAAAAATTATTTTAAAAAATCCATGTCAATGCCGACAGTGCCACATTAGGGCTAGCCAGTTAAAATTGACCGGATGGACTGAATTACCAAAAATGTAAAAAGGTTTAAAACTGAATCAACAAAAAATAATTTTAAGACTGAATTGGCATAATTGCTATAGATTTATGATTTTTTTGATAATTTTCCTCCCTTTTAAATATACTCTAATAAGTAAATTACGACCCATGGCAATTAATTAGGTACAATTCCAGACAGGATAACAGTTATATTATGCAGAGTTATATCCGGCTGACCAAACACAATCTTATATTAACGGGTTATCTTTGGAAGAAGAACTTAGCTCAATTTAGGACCAAAAAACTTCGTAACGAAGCAAAAAATGTTGTGAAATGTGGGCTTTAAAAGCCACTGCTATTTGGAAAAGATCAATGCCTAATTAATAACAAAACATCAACAAATCAACATAAGTATCCTATGACTTTCTTTTGTGATGCCACAATTTCTTGGAATCATTCATAACATTGCCTTAACAATTGGTTACTTATCGGCTTCCCTTAATTTCATATTATTTGTGCCATAGTTGGATGCAGGAAAAAGAAGGTTAGATAATAATTCGAGTTGGATTATGTTTTTTTTATTTTTCCATTTTTTGTCGGTTCAAAGCATGACCCTCTTTTATTTATCACCAAATTCCATAAAATTCTCAAGATCTTAAAAAGTGAAATTTTTTTTGAAAAGATAAACTTAACTTATGATTTTGCTCGCGTCTATTTGATCGCGTCTCTTGTTATTTATCATGTTGCAAGAAGACACAGGACAAGCCGGGGAATGGATTGATTCTCTGTTGAGCATGAACAAAGGTTTTTTTCAGAGGGTAAAAACATCCTCTAATTGCTGTCAATTGGGACAGGATATCAACTGTGTTGACAAGATGGAATGATTTCATGAGTTACTCACCCTTGAGTCAAGGCTATGACAAGCCGATCAGTTTGGATCGAAAAGAGCTTTCACCTAAGACTTAAATATCTGCAGTCATGCAATGGTTGGAAATTGCATCTACCAGATCCAACCTTAATCGAGTCCACATTCATAACTAGTCATACACTAAGAAACAGTAATAACGAAGTCGATCTTTTAGGTATATGGTATTTCTGTCACTTGGAACGTTCCAAGGGCTCAGGGCAAGTAACACTGCAGGAGAAGCATGTATACATTGACAGGCCGTGCTTCTGGAAAAATAAAATCCAATGAAATTACTAGCTAATTGGATTAATCTCAAAGAAATTCCTAAGTTAGATTTAAGAGCATGAAGAAACTTCTAAATGATGCACCAGTTGCATCAGATGATAAAGATATATGCATGTAAGGACAAAGTGCCAATTTTTTTAAAAAACCAAAATATGTTTAGACCAATTACTTTAGGAGGTGCAGTAAATTACTCTTAGACATAGTTTCGAGAAGAACCAGAAGTTTCATCATTATTAATTTAAAAGAACCATTCCTCATTTAGAATGGTTGACATTGAAACAGCTGCAAAGAGAACGCTAAACCACTCAACCTCAGCTGGGCCTGAACCTTCCCTTTTTAGCATCCAAAAAATTGCAATGAAAATTGGAATAACTTTTAAACCCAGCAGAATGAAATGAATACGATAATTAATGAAGAAAAAAAACTTCACCAATTAGCAAATATGTAAGCAAGAGAAGAAGAAACTTTACTTTTTTTTTTTTGATAATCGAGGTGTCCGCGCGGCCGGCGAGCTAGGGCTCAAATCAGCAGTGATGCCCGACTAGTCCTCGAGGGGGGCTAGCGCAGCATCCCACCGCTACGACCCCCCACTTAAATCACCGATGGGCGAGTTTGAACCCAGGACCTCTCGTGAAAAAAACTGAGCGCAAACCAACGCGGCCACCGATGGGTGGGTAAGAAACTTTACTTTTTTGTTTACAAACATTCCAATTTTCTTGCCAAGTACCTCGAGTTCCAATCAAGCATGCAAGACGCATCTTCTCTGCATAGTTCCAATGAGTGAGGACCTTCCCCCGATCAGCAGTCACAAACTTCTAAATGAAATTGCGGGGAACAGTCAGATATAAGCAAGCTACAGTATCTCCAGCCAAACCGTTGGACAGCATCCTTATGAAATATTGAATGATATGGATGTTGACAAAAAAGTTCATCTGCGATCTCACTCTCAGATGACTCCTTACACCAAGGCTGCCCCTGTTAAAGCTAATACAACATTCTCCCCAGATCAACCGCACTTTCTGCATACATTGATTTTCCTCCTCTGTCTCGAGTCATATGTTGCCCTAATAATACTGAAATCCATGATTAAACCCCATTTCAGAGGCTCAAAACAGATTGCCTTTCACCTCACAAGGTCTCAATTTGCAAGGAAAGATCATGAAGGAACATAGAAACGATACTGAACATAATTTGATATAACACTCCACTTCACATTTGTGTCTAGACAAAACTGTAGCCAAATAATTTTTGCCATTATCTATCAAAGAATAATTTACTAATCAGAGCATTTCATCGTGATTCCTCCAACTTTTGACTGATCAGGAGCTGCCTTGAGTCAGATAAGTACCTTAATTTCGAGCACCGCCAAAAGTTCTGTTATTACGGGGACACAATGCAATAATTACCAGGGGAACACAGCTAGGCATAGAGAATTTAGAGGAAGGAAATTAGTGATTGCAGAAAGAAGGAAGAGCCGCCATCAATTGATTTTTCCTCAAGTTTCAATTCAGTTTGAGTATCCAAGATGTTGAACGGAAGATAGGAAGATGAAATATTAAACATGGAGGGATGAAACAATGACCTCACATATGAAGAATTTAACTTTATAAAGTAACATGTAGACAAAAGAAAACGAAGAGCACAGTTTTTCTTCGGTTTAACAAGCATCCTATTCCTAGATGAACCTGACCAAGTACCAAAATTCCAAACTAGCATGCAAGACCCATCTTCTCATTATAGACAGCCAACAACTGCGGTGCTTCCCCCAAATAAGTAGTCACAAACTTCTCCAGGAACTTCTTCTCCGAAACAGTCAACAATGTAGTCAGGCTACAAGGTTTAATTACACCTTTAGACAGCAGAACTTGAAAGACTGATCCCCGCGGAACAATTCTCTTCCCTAAGCTAAATGTGATGGCTAGCGGACGTTGGGAAATAACCGACGAATCGAGCCCCACCACATTGACAAAGAAGTCCATCGCAGCAGTAATTTTGCTCTCCGACAATGCCATACACAATGGATACTTCCTAAAAGCTAAAAGAACTTCCTCCTCGGACCAACCCCACCGGCCATACACACCGATTTTCCTCCTCCACATCGACTCGCTCATGCTCATGATCACGTGCAGAGCTGTGACAAAACTCAGCTTGGCAGGGTCGAAACCCATTGCTTTCACCCTATTCATGGTCGCATCAAATCGCCAGGACCGACACCAGAAGATCTGCCCGTGGTACAGGACTAAATGCCTGATGTTCGCTTCCGGCACTCCGGCACTCCTCAAAGTCGTGATCTCAGGAACAAGTTCGGCTTGAGGATCCTCGTACAACATTCGCGGAGCACGTGTGATGGCTGCGATGGCCCTTTCATCGGATTGTAACAAATTACTAATATAATGAAAAGTGGGTACCAAATGCTGCTCCAGGCTCCTGCTCAAGATCTTCGGGACTGCCACCACGAGTTTGGCTAACCCGAGGTCGGAGATCCCTCTCGAGCACAAAAAATCGATTTTTGGCAAGAGGGTCTTATCTGGGTCCGCTGAAAGCAACGCGGGGAATCTCCTAAGGATGTGCGAGATTTGAGCTGGAGCGAAACCTCGGTCCTTGAAGACACCGATGACTGCGTCTGGTCTTGAAGGGGTTTCGAATTTGACGAGCTTGGAAGCGCAGAGAGCCGATTCTGGAGAGAGCCCACATGAGTTAACGAGGTAGGAGACCGTGAATGATTGCGATTTTGAGGAGGTCGAGGAAAATCTGAGCAGGAGACGTAGGTAATCAGCTTGGGGAGGAACTTGAAGAACACTGACATGAAGCAGGGCTTTGCGAGAGAAATGGAACATGAGTCTCTGAATCTGATGAACATGAAGAACTCCAGTTTCTTCCTTCTACTACAAAACTGGAGGTTTCAATGGGGTTTCTAGACAAAAAACAAAAGGGATAACTGCATTCAAAGTCCTAAAATTTGTCACGAAAGTATAATTGAGTCCTAAAATTTTTAAAAAGTGCAAATAAGTCATAAAATTTATCACGAAAGTGCATTGGAGTTCTAAAACTTTAAAAAAGTGCAAACAAGTCCTAAAACTTATCACGAAAGTGCAAACAAGTCCTAAAACTTATCAAATTGATTCAATCAAGTCCTAAAACTTATCACGAAAGTACAAACAAGTC